TTAGGCGAGAACACTCATTCCTCCCTCTATTATGTCTACTTTCTGTCTGTACATCTTTGTAATAATAATGTTAATATTAATTAACGGTTTATTGAAAGAACATGGCAGCCAGAAGGCTGAAAATAGTGTGCCTGTGTGCGTCTGTTCACTTTACAGTCACATCATAGTTGTTTATCTCTTATTGCCATTTTACTAAGAAATAAAGGAAAGAAAGGAAAAGAAAAGAAGTTTGTACTAGTTTCTCGATTTATAGAAGGATATAGTGAGGTGGTTGAGGGAGGGGTTGTGTTGGTAGGGTCAAAAATAAGGGGAAGGAAGGCCATCTTGACCCTCACACATATGGGCTTACTGTGTAATAGGATACCATAACCTGCCACCATGGACACTACACACGCAGGCAGGTCTGCTATGTGATGACATACAGAATTACCTTGTTTACATCATCCTTACTTGAACGTTTATGGTTTCTGCTATTTTTTAAACAACACCTCACTTTGTTACCCTAGTACCTTAAATTTTTGGAATAGAACAGTTGTCTATGGCAGTGTTCAGTCTAGTTATTATCCCAAGATGGTGATGACGCTGACCTTACTAAGTTGTACATTATTAAACGGAGTGAATGCTCGAGTATATGTTTGTTATGACGGGAGGTGAGGCTAGGTGCATGGTGAGGCGAGACTTGCTGGGGATAGGTTGATGAAATACCCATGGTGGTCAGAGCCACACTGGTGCTGGTTAAAGTTTTAGGAGTTGTGGGCGAGCAGCTAGCTGTGTGACCCTCCTTCTTAAGTCTGCCTCTCCCACAAACTTAGGAGACTGTTAAGGGAGGAGCCATAGACGGTGGCAGAGAGAGACGCCTTCCTCTTATACCCACCGACACATTAATGAACATGAGAAAATAAGGAGTCTGCAATAGGCCAGTTGGCCTGTGCATGGCAGCTCCTGTCGAGAGTTACTACCACTCTCTATCATCCATGAATCTATCTAGCCTCCTTTTAAAAGTCTCCAGCACTACTACAAAGTTGCTAAGCTTGTACCACTCATCCACCACCCTATTTGTGAACCAGTTCCTTCCTATCTCCCTCCTAAACCTGAACTTATCCAACTTAAATCCGTTGCTACGAGTCTTATCCTGCTCGGATATTATAAGAAACATTAATGAAGAGTATTAGAGGCTTCTCTGGCCAATCTTAAGTCTTCAGAAATCATTTTGATCCATAATAACATTACTGAAAAAATGGCGGAAAGTATTGTTCAGGATCTGTATAAAACGCATCAGATGTCTAAAAAAAATAGATACCCTAATGCCTAAAAAATTAAACTAACTCCTTTGTGTAAGGGTTGTGACGGCCTATGAGTCCCATTTTTACTCCCGGGGCACCCACAGTCCACTCGGCTGCAAATTGACACCTTACTTTACAATCGGGGAAGTGAAGGTGGTGGAGTGTACTGCTGACCACGATGCCTCCTTGGTTATCAAAGGCTTGGTATATATAGCATTCTGTATCCACACTGCTACTTTTTTAAATTAAAAACACATTAATCTGATGTAGTTTTACATTCTGATTTGGAATATATATACAGTATATAATTATTTTTTTAATCATAATGTTTAATTACATCAGATTAATGTTTTGTTTTTTTATTATTAAAAGAAAATGCTGTGCATCACACAAGATCCTAAAAAATTTTGAGATATACAGTAATAGGAAAAAAAAAATCAAATATTGTATACTGTAATATACAGTGCAGTATAGGGATGGATCGGATGTCAGATATGACATCACAGATGTGGATGCGACATCAATCTTATACAGTGAAACCTTGCTTTACGCGGTTAATTGAACCCCTGGAGGCCCGCGTAAAACAGGAAATGCGTAAAGTGAACAACAGAACATATGGGATCAATTGAAATAAGAGACTGGGCCGTCCCCCAAACTCCACTTTTTCCCGACACAATACGTACGTTTAGTAAAAATAACCTCTTAACTTTTGATGGTATGCACACACACATAATATGGAAGAGAACAATCAATAAGAGAATAATATACTGTAGGTTAGGTTAGAAAAAATCAAGGTTAGGTTTAACACTTACGTTTGAAGAGATGGGTCGGCGTACGGGAATGGAGGCTGGTTCCGAGGCAGAGGGCAGGCTACTGGCCCAAAGGTGAGTCATCATCACTGTCATCCACACTTATCAGGGCCTCCCTGACAAATCCCTCAAAGTCACCATCACTGTCTCTCTGACTATCACTGGCTTGGGTTGGCTGTGGTGGGTTGCGGGCGAAGAACTCAGTAATGCTTTGTTGACGGCTAGTGTTGATGTTGTCGTGATACACCTTGATGTACGGGTCCATAATCTGCAACAGGTGGGTAGTGAAGACTTCATACCGGTTATCGTCAGGGTCGTCGGAAAGGAGGAGCTTCAGTTTCTCTACACACACTCGATGGCACCCCTTACATTACCATGCGATAACTTGCGTTCTTCTTGGGATGACGCACCACCTGCCTCTTCACTGACGTCATCATCTTCTAACATCTTGTCGGCAGTCACATCAGGATCCCTTATCACCTCCATAATGTCGTCGTCGTTGGTGGTCTCGGAGAAGTCTTTAGCTGTAACACTCTGCGCAGCTTCTCTGGCAAGGTCCACTGCTACTGCAACAGTCTGAACCTCACCAGTCACAGATTGACTCTGCCTCCCACCTGGGATACCTTGCAACACATGTCTCCATGCGTGACGAACCGTTGTTACAGACAGCTGATCCCATGCCTCCACCAAGAAGTCCACAGCTTTCTTGACGTTGAATTTCCTCCAAAAGTGTTTCACAAGTACTTCTTGCTCTGCCAACTGTTGTTCCTCGTCCTCTTCGCTCTTGCTATCGGTGTCACTCAGGTTACGCAACTCATCCTTGGTGTTGGTATAGTCGTTCAGGAGCTTAAACTTTGCAGAGAATGCAGCTTTCACATTGCAGATTGCAGATTAATTCTTGGTCCATGGGCTGGATTAATCATGTGTTGGGAGGAAGGAAGACCACTTTTACTTTGGGGTGACGATCCAACAGTAGGGGCGAGCGTCCTGGTGCGTTGTCAAGCAGCAACAATATCTTGAATGTAACATTCTGTTGCTCACAAAATTTCTTCGTCAGGAACGAAACAGTCATCAAACCAGGAGAGGGACACTGTTACTCACAAAATTTCTTCACGTCAGGAACGAAAGTCATCAAACCAGGAGAGGGACAGAGTAGAGAACATCCACGCCTTACGTGCGGTCAGCCAGTGGACATTTAGCTTGGTCATGTTCTTGTAGGTTTGCGTGCTGTGTGGATCACCGATAACTTGAGCTTACAGGTACCGGAGGCATTGGTGGTAAACAGGACGGTGATGCGCTCCTTCTGCAACTTCCGGCCCCGACACTTGCTAACAGTCTTGACAACGAATGGTCTTGGAAGGTAGCTTTTTCCAAAAAAGACCAGATTCGTCCATGTTGAATACCTGGTCGTCGGTGTACTGTCCTTCCTCCATAATCTCGGGTAAAAACAGAGGAAACTCCCTAGCCGCAACACGGTCGGTACTAGCTTCTTCACCACCAATGTTAATGTTGGTGATCTTGTTCCTCTTCTTAAACCTCTGCAACCACCCAGAAGATGCATTGAAGGGTTTGGGCTCTGCAATTCCCATCTTACGTGACACTGCTGCGTACAGTTCACGTGTGTACTCCTTAACTGAGCGCGTTTACACCGCCATGTTCCGTCTTGCCTGGCGAATCAAGTAGCTCACAAGTAATTTCTCCGTCTTGAGAAGCACCTTGTTGTGGCAATACTTGATCATAGAAGCACCTGTGGACTTTGTGATGTTCATGTGTTCTTTTATCTTGGCTGCATCCTTCTTGATTGTCCGGATCGTAGATTCATTCACACCATGCTGGCGCGCCAAGTCAACCTGTCTTGTTCCTTTCTCCAACTCTTGGATGATCTTGTATTTAATTTCATAGCTTAGGGCACGTCGTATCTTCTTTGGCTTAGGGCGGCTGGGTCCAGGTAATGCAAGGTTTCTTTGTGGTGGTCTGGTTGCAGCAGATGGGTGTATTCTACTCTAGGGTATGAATCATTTACCATCAAAGTTAATGAATAACAACTTGAGTAGTTGTGTTTTAGAGGCTTGACTTTGGTGGTTGTGAGGATTTGCTGTACACTGTGACCGGCATTGGATGAGGAAACCAAAATTTTATATCTGGATTCCAGTTACTCTGTACAAGTGCTAAGTAAATAAATCTTATTTTGAAATTTTTTGGTACAGATTTACCATTAGAGAACCTTAACTGCTGTAACTGGGTAATAAATGTAATATACGTGAACTTGATCAAGTCGGTCCTCCCAAGCACGTCGAGGCAAAAGACCTGTTGTTACTTGGTGACATGTTACCCATGACCATGAACCAGGCTGTACTCTCACATTGGATTCTTTGGTATTTATTTAGGTACACTTCCCCCTCCCCTTGTTAAAAGCTCGCTAAGTGACCTGTGTCAGGTCCGAATGCTGATTAGGGCAGTAGGAACAAAATATTTCGTCGGTTTTAGTTTTCACACTATTTCAGCAAGTAATACAACTAGAATAGTTTATGCGCCATCCATTCTCGGCCAATATTTACAACAACAGAGTGATTTGACAGTAACAGACAGCTGATGTCCCAACTTGCAGTGTTCATGTGCCTAGGAGAGGAAGACATCTCTCGACTCTTGCACGTAAATATCATTTGTTTACAGCCGAGATAACTACAGTCCGTGCAGTTGTAAAATGGTACCTTTTACAGTGGTTAGCTGTCCACTACCTACTTAATAATAATACTTACAATTGGGGAAGAGAAAGTGTAGTGCAGGCCACACTGCTCCATATAGGCTCTGGCTGATGGGATCCCTGTTTAGTGATGGGGTACTGTACATACTGCAGTCAGATATTTCAAGGATTCTCCTTTATTAATGTTGATAATCTTATCCTCAGGTGTGGATGTAACTGCCAACCAAGAGGAGATCTCAGACCATGAGAAGTTCCAGCTGGAGTATGATGGAGCCACAAAACGGTGGTATGTCCGAACTATGCAGGACAAGTACTGGACACTTGAAGCTGGTGGCGGTATTCAGGCAAATGCTTCTAAACCGTAAGTGTTATAACTTTAGCATCAGCAATTTTAAGGTTGAAATAATGTTTACCGGTGTGTTTTCATGTTTCGAACAATTTTTACTGTGATTTCTAACAAAAATGAGCCATTTTGGAGTTATTGCACCCCCGCCCCCCTAACAGTCTTAGGCTATCGGCGTGATTTTTATTTTTATATTTAATTGGGGGGGGGGGGTGGACGACGAGTGATCTAAGTTGTCTCTGAAAACCTAACTAAACCTAACCTAGTGCCCTTGGTTTTCTTACTTTAATTGGAATGAGAAAAATGGCCAGGTTTAGGGTTGTCGGGAGACCAAGTTGCTTGACGGTCATCTGGGTCATCGTCCACAAGCATACACACTCCTCTGATTTATTGGCACTCGCTAGGCAAAACACCAAGGGATCATAGAAATGCCACCAATTTTGAATTATTATTGTAAAACCTCATGATCGCGGCCTATTGATGTAGATCGCACCTGTCGCACACAGGAGCCATTTTGATTGATTCAAATTTAGCCATTACTGCCGACTATACCCTTAAATGCATGAAATATTCCCAAAAGCTAAGAATCAAGACCGTTCATTGGCTCAATAAAACGGGTAGGATGTCATGCGCGCCTTGCCTAAACCCAATATAAAAAATGTCAAATACTGTACCTTGCTTACATGTAATTTGCAATAAAAATGCCTTGAGGAAAACTGATAGAGGTGGGCGACATCTATCTATAGCAACTATTCATTTGCAAACATCTTTTGAGAGTCCACTTGTAAAATAATTCAACTATGATTCCTTTAATTCACTTACATATTGTTTGTTTGCTGGAAATTGTCTATAGTACAAGTACAGTACATGCATACCCCGACAACTGACACATAGGGACCGAGAAAAGTCATTAATTAGTGAATCGATAGTTATCAAAGCAATTAACCCCATAAGAACATAGCAAATTCAGGGGGTTAGGGACTGGCTAACCTCAAAAAACTCCCATTTACCCTTGATATACAGTATATCTGTACTGCACACAGTCAAGTAGTCAAGCAACAAAATAAAGCAGACATAGAAAGCAAGCATAATAAGCAATGAAAAGCATAAATTGACTGTTATTTACCTGTGTTGAGGATGGCAGGGACAGTCTAGGGTAGCAAGTTCAAGTCTACCACTGTTGGTCCATCACCACTTTTATTACACCTTATTATGCCTTATTACACCTTATTATTTCACATCAAGTTGCTCAGCACCAAAGGAACGAGCACGGAGGTGTTTAGGTATGATTAACACACTAAGTTGGAAAACACGAAAAAGCATGAAATCAGACACTGTAACTATAAACGAGCAAAGATTGCCCTCTGGTGGCAAGAATGTGTACCACGCCAGCTGTCGATCATAAGATCTCCAAGGTATCAACGAAATAAGGGGGTATTTTCCCTATATGTAATTGTCTGTAATGCAAATTGGCGGCCAACAGGACATGGGTTATCGGGGTTCACCTGTATACCCCCAAAAACTGACGTCCTGTTAACTGCTGCTTCGTGTAGCTGATGATTACATATAGGGAAATACCCTGTAAGTTTTGTTGATATCCCGGAAATGGGACAGGAATGGCAGAGCTGTTTTGAATTTGGCGGGCGGTGATGTGGTGTGCGCGCTGCCCTCGCTCAGAGCTGTGGCTAGTGAGTTCGGCCAACTGCGTGTCATGTTATACAGCGGGTGGGAACTGGGAGGTCTTCTTGGGCTGCTGCTCTCGGGGTTTCATTGACTCCTGATCCATGCCACACAAATGCAGGAAATAAAGATAAAAGTCTGAGAGTTCTTGTTTGGCATATCTAGGTTTCCTCTTTGATTTTATTATTTGTTCCTAAGGATTTTCTTTAGACATTTTAATACTTTGTATTCTTTTGACAGAGACAAATAACACAGATTGGTTTGTGAATACAGTGATCCCTCGGTTAACGAGCGCCTCGGTTAACGAGATTTCGGTTAACGAGTTACCTCCCATAAGATTCTTAACTTCAATTAACGAGTTACCTCCCATAAGATTCTTAACTTCGGTTAACGAGTTACCTCCCATAAGATTCTTAACTTCGGTTAACGAGTTACCTTCCATAAGATTCTTAACTTTGGTTAACGAGTTTCTTACGAGCCTACCTCAACAGGTTTTCGCTTGCACTTGGCGGTCAACCAGCTGTAGTATTAGTCTGCCAATACAGTAATCGGTTCTAGGGCTTAAATTCCTTAATATTTTAGTAAATATCAAGAAGTTTATACTATTCAATAATTTTAAAAGTTTAATATTAAATTTTTTAGTCATTTTAACAATTATTGAACATAATTGAAGGTAAAGTGACTAGTTTTATGCGCGCCATCCAGCCTCTTAACACAGGAAACAAGCGTTAGTCTCTCTCTGTTTTCAGTGGAGGTAACACCTTGCTTGAGACTTTCTTCAACTAAATGCTTTTTTTCTGTGTTTCCAAGCAAATATTGGTCATTTTGAAATTTATTTTACATATTGACAATATATAGCGCAGTGCAGTGTTATTTTGAAGAAAATATTCTTTATTTACAGCAAGTTTAACTTTAAAAAACACTTGTTGACATTGTTTGAATCCAGCATTGGGCCTAAGAGATCAAGAAAAGCAATTTCAATCCAAACCAAGCAGGAAATTATAAAAAAACATGAACAAATGCACTATGCAAAGAATATGGCATGTCGACATCAACTGTATCGACAATTCTTGCACAGAAAGACAAATTTAAAGTGAAAGTGAGTCAAATCTACCAGGGTGTTTAAAAGTATATCCCTAATTGCAGAAACCGAGAGGTTACTTCTCATCTGGATTAGGGAAAAACAGATGAAAGGTGATTCAGTTTCTACTGAATTCATTTGTGAAAGAGCCAGGGAGATTTACGAACATTTAAAGACAGATCAACCTGGTTCTCCTGGCACAGAATTTGAAGATTTTCGGGCCAGTAAAGGCTGGTTCGAAAAATTTAAGAAAAGAAGTGACATTTTCAGTGTTGTTCGGCATGGTGAAGCTGCTAGTGCTGATAAGGAAGGGGCAGCACAGTTTTTAGTGGAATTTAAAGAGCTGATGGAAGAAGAAAATTATCTTCCACAGCAAGTGTTCAATGTGGACGAAACTGGGCTGTAATGGAAATAGATGCCCAAAAGAACATTCATCACCAGAGATGAAGCCTCTTTACCTGGGCATAAACCCATGAAAGACCGTCTCACTCTATTGCTTGGTTCCAATGCTTCAGGGGATTTCCGACTGAAGCCTATGCTTGTCTACCACTCTGAAAACCCCAGGGTGTTCAAGCAACAGAAAGTGGTAAGAACAAAGCTTGGAGTTTATTGGAAGTCCAACCGTAAGGCATGGGTGACAAGACAGCTCTTTAATGAATGGGCTGTTGATGTGCTTTGCCCTTCTGTCAAGAGCTACCTAACCACCAATAAGCTCCCTTTAAAGGCTCTTCTCCTCATGGATAATGCTCCTGGTCATGACCCTGAACTTGCCAGAAATTTGGAGTATCAATTTGACTTTGTGAAAGTGTTGTTTTTGCCTCCCAACACTACATCAATCATACAGCCAATGGACCATAATGTGATCAGCAACTTCAAGAAGTTGTACATGAAGAAAATGTTTAGGTGGTGTGATCAGGCAACTTCCAATGATCCTGAACTAACACTGAAACAGTTCTGGAAGACAATTCAACATCCTGGAGGCTGTACAATTGATTGTGTCATCATGGCAAGAAGTCTCCACTAGATCCCTCAATTCTTCATGGAAAGCACTGTGGCCATCAGTAGTCCATGATTTTGAGGGATTTGAGGATGACACAGAGTTGGACCAGGAGATTGTGTCCATTGGTCAATCATTGGGCCTTGAAGTGGAAGAGGAGGATGTCGAAGAGCTTGTGATGTCTCATGAGGAGGAACTTACTCCTGATGAATTGAAGCAACTGGGTGAGATGTTACAGGTAGAGGCTGATAGTGGTGAGGAGGAAATTGAAAGTAATGACCATATGTCAACTAAAGAGTTGAAAGATGTGATTTACCACTGGGAGAAGTTCAGGGAACTGGCTTCAAAACACCCAGATGTGGAAAAAAATGAACTAACTTTGTCATGTTGAGGACTCAATGGTCTCCTTCTTTAAACATAAGTTAATGGTGAGGAGGAGAGATGCCCCACAGACCACAATTGACACTTTCTTCAGTAAAAGGCAGAGGGAACATGATGCTATCCCTCTGTCTTCCACTTCAAGAAGGAGAGAGGATGTTCATGGTGGAGAATCTGTCAGTCCAGAAGTTCCTGACATTTTCATGGAAGGTGACTCACCTTCCAAGAAGCAGTAAAATGCTTCTCCTCCACCTCCACTTCCTTCTCTTCTCCCTTCTCCTCCTCCACCTCCCACTTCAAATTCACATCAGCATCATCATCCAGGTGCCTTCTACATACACACCTCAAGGTAAGTGTCCATTTCTAAATTTTTCGTTGAATTTAGGCAATTTTCTGTGAGCTGGAACCAATTACCCAAAAACCCATTAAAACAATGGTTTCGGTTAACGAGCAACCTGCTTGAATGGATTGTGCTCGTTAACCGAGGGACCACTGTACTGTATGTACAATAGCTAAAACGACTATCTGTGCATACTTTGTGGGAAACAATGAGATCGTGGACGATAAATTTTGGTATTTGAGGGCTGTCACGAATCACGCGTAAAATTTCGGAGCATAGCGACCCCCACCTGCACCGATAGTTGTTTTTGCTACTGTACATAACTTAACAAAATTATACAGTATCAGTGTTGACTTCTGCCAGGTCCAGGAATAGTGATTTTGACTGGGTCACTTATTGATGGAGAGAACTTTGATCAGCCTGTACTAACACAGCTTATGAACATCTCCTGGTCTGTCTTCTTGTTCTGTATTTGGAAAGTAACTGTGTTTGATGCTCTATTTTTTTTTTTTCCAGAACATCCAATGCACTCTTCAACTTCCAGTGGCAACCAGATGGGTCAGTTGCTTTTCAGGCTAACAATGGCAAGTATATTGCTACCAAGAAATCTGGTCACCTTTTTGCTAATGCGGATTCACCAGATGAAGAAAGTGCTCGTTTTTACTTCTATTTGATAAACAGGTAGGTTAAGAAAGTTTTCATTTCTACATCTATTTATTGATGAGGTTTGTTTAAAAAGAATTGACAAGTTTAAACTGTATACTGTACAGTACTATTCACAAAATTGTATTATTTTCGTAACAATTGTTTGAAAGTAAGAGGAACTGGAGGAGTTGAATGTGGCTTTAAAAGAATATAAAACATGGCCAAGTATTTATTTACAAGCTTGGTGAACCTTGTTCTATACACTAAAAGAATAGTAATTAAAGAAACATGGAAGTGAAAGGAGTATTATATAGAAATGGATGGGAGGAGAGGGAAAGGCCAATTGAAAGGATTGGGTGATTTGAGGTAGTCAATAGAAGGGGGATGGACACCCAAGAACTAGTAAAGTGCATACATGATTAAATTACTGGGGATGGACCAAGAATTTAGGTGGACCTGCTGCTAATGGGAGATGCTGGGCTGTGTGAAGCAACAGGGAGGTATCCAGATGGAAATTTTGGGGCCATGTTGTGGAAGAGGAACACAAAGCAGAATACACCAGTTACAGTAATCAGTAAATGATGGTAGGTAGAACCTGTGGTGCTCCTAATTTTGGCATAATTATGAGAAAAGGATTGCAACAGTGAAAGTAAAGAAAACATACACGAGTTTTTGTATGCTGGTTGTAAATTTATTATGTATTTGCCAACCCACCAAAATTTATATCCTACCTCACCCAAAAGTAATGTTAATATTATATTAGCATGGAAAGTGAATCAGTTTATCCTCACGTCCACCTTACGATATTTTCAGTTTCCAATCTGTCATTTTCCCATTTATGAAATAAATCTATCATTATTTTTTAAGTAAAATGTGAAGGTTTCTTGGCATTTCACAAAAGATGAGTGACGTAATCTGTGAATACGTTGATTTTTCCTACAGTTAGAGCGTTTTTATTATTTGTAAAAGACACCCACCAGAATAATGTCAATGTTAATGTTGGTGCATGAGAAACTACAATGAAACAACCTAAAGGCACATCCAAGAATATTAATAGGGGGTCCAAGAAATTGTGTGGGGAACATTGTGAGCAAAGTGAACACACAGCTGGGGAGGTTTTTTTTTTTTGGGTGGTGGGGGGATTACTACTGTAAGCCCCCCCCCCCAGAATTTTTTTTAAAACTGACCAATATCAAGGCCATTTTGAAGCCTTGTGCACTTGATATTAGGAGATATTTTGAGGCCAATAGTAATTACTTTTTACAATACAAAAATGGCTTGGTACAAAACTGCATTAAAGAAAGGTATTGAATTTCCTGATAAAAATGGGGGCCAAACCCCCATGACTCCCCTGGACAGCCAGACATAAAGGAAGAGGTTCTATAGAGTGTCAACAAGGAGGAGGCCTTTACCTTTGACCTGTGTGACCATTGCCCATGATCCTACTTGGTCTTGCCCAACATTAGTTGATTCCTAAGTGACCCACTGCCACATAGCAGCTAATCCATCAAACAAACCACGCTGAACTTGGCCTGTAAACTCACACAAGTTAAATTGTTTATATTGTTGACTATTTATACTTGTTTCACTTACATTTTCGTAGTTACTTACTCTTAGGTAATGAAACCATAACGAACGGTGTGTGAAGATTAATCTTTTAATAAATTTTGCTTTATTTGCCATAAACTGGCTGCATCTACCTGAACTGTGGGCCACACTAAATCGAATTTCTCAATCATTCCATGGGCCACACAAACACATGGTTCGGGCAGCGGGTTGGCCATACCTGGTCTATAGCATAACTCTTGTGACTATGAAGTTATTTTAGAGAAATTATGTAGGTAGTGTATTGATGCTAAAGAAAGTGCCAAACATCAAATACCTATGTGTTTTAAAGATTTTGTAATAATTGTGTCAAAGATCAGATACTTGTACTGTATAACAATGTCTAAATGGCTAAATAGGAGTTTGGCTGGCTCACTGGTATGATTTTATCAGTACAGAACTTGTTCTCACTCCTTCATGCATTTATATGTTCTTTATTAGCAAAATGAACAGTAATCTGTAATAAATATTTGTCTTCTAGGCCAGTGCTGGTGCTTAAGTGTGAACAGGGTTTTGTTGGCTACAAAACTTCTAGCAGTCTTAAGATGGAATGTAACAAGGCAAACTATGAAACCATCAAAGTTGAAAGGGGCAACCAGGGTCAAGTCTTCTTTAGAGGTATGTTATTTGTGGTTTTTATTTATATGAATAGTGTAGTAAAAACCCATCGGTGTTCTAAGCCACATGACACAGGTTTGTGCTTCCTGTCGGTTAGGTTTGTTTACTAGGTTAGGTCAAACCTGGAACGTATTAAGTCAAGCTCTTCAATGTTATAAGCCTTTAGAGCAGGAAAGATCCACCCTATGAATATTAGGGCATTAAAAATGTTAGCAAGAGTACTGTATTTATAAATATATCCATAAAATATTGTCATTATTTTGTGTATGCAGTAAGATTGGTTTCTTTAAAATGTAATAAATTTCATTGTCAATTCTTTCAACACAAGAATTAAGCCAGAGCATAAAATTCACGAGTTTTATCACATTTTCAATAATGAATGTTTGGTTTAAGAAATGAGTAGATATTATACAGTATAGTATACTGTATCATCTTTGTAACAGTGGCCATTTTTTCATCCTATGATGGTGGTTTATAACCACAATTTACTTGTGATTAAATTATTTTTGTTCTGCAATTTGTATTTGTTATTCATTTTAGGTCAGCAAGGTGGTTACTGGCATGCATGTGGTGATGGCATCATGGCTGATTCAGAAGTACCTGAAGGCTTTTTCATTGAACTTCGCGAGGCCACCCGAATGTGCTTGAAGAATTCTTCAGGACAGTATATTGTCACAGAGAAGAATGGAGGCTTTAAACTTGGTGACACAGATCCTTCACGTGCCACATTGTGGGAATTTTAAAGTGTGACTTCTGTATCTTAAAAAGTAGGGAAGTTGGGGTAAAAATCCCATCTTTGTCTTACTGTGCTTTGATAGTGTAAATTGTAAACCAGTAATAAGCAGCAAATTGAATTATAAGAGTAAGGTTGTAGGATAAAGATGAAATAAGAGTCAGATTGGATATATCCCATCCAAGTACATTATGTAAAGTCCTGAATGTTAACGCTCACTAGTTAGTAACGAGGATTTTTTAAATTAATTGTGATGTGTGTATGAGTGTTGCTCTTTGGCCTACCCAGTTAGCGAGTTCATGGTATAAAGAGAAATACAAATTAATTTTCCGTGAAAACTTTTATATTCTGTATACTGTGCTAGGTTTATGATCAATTAATGTTGGGTATAAGTATTCAATAAAGACAGTCAGATGGTAGATCATATTTAGTGTTGTCATAATCTGAGTGTTTAATAATATGCACTACTATTATACTGTACTGGGAAATCTTCAAAGCAAGATTACGGCTTAAATTTATATCAAAGGTAAAAGCCTTTTATACTGCCTTTGTCACAGTGATTTGATTGCAGATGTATGTTGAGAAACTGTAGTTTGCAGATGACTGCACACAACCAAAGTTTTTTCTTCTGTCTCCGTCTTTGTACAATTAATTCAGCTGATAAAATGATGTTATATGTAGATATCATCATTAATATTGCTTCCACATTGTCTTTAGGCTAAGTCAAATAACTTATACTTAATTGTACTTTTTTACCATTTCTACTAGTGATTGTCATCCCTCTTGAGTTCAGAAAAAATGTGAGTAAGATAAATTACAGGAACATAGGTGGGTGACATGAATATTAGCGCAAATTTTATTATTTTATAAATAATTTTGTGATAGTTTCACTTCAGCATTATGCACAAGTTAGCCCAGTTAGCAACTTGGAAAAGTCGCTTGCTTGGTCATTGGCTGCTGGTGGCCTATTTCTCATATCAGAAGTAGACAGTAGTGGTGGATCATGGATTGGTTTGCATCCTATTTATAAACCATATATTGCACAGTAAGGGCTGTGACACCAGTCATGTATGTATTCCTTGTTTGCATTGTATCTTACACCTGTATCTTGTGCTGGTAACACATGATAAATTTTGTCCAAGTTTTCACATAGATTGGCCCACAGATACATTATCACCTGCTACTTTCTAACCTTCTGCAACTGTTACAATCATAAATATTGATGTTATATTTGCTGAAGAATCTCAAGAGTAATTGTTCATTGATGCATGAGCACTTTTAAACTGAACTAGTAAAGTTAACTTTAATGCTCTCAAATTGTACTGCATTTTTAACTTGCTGAAAGAAACAAAATATGAAAGACTTCATGCCATTGTACCTGTTACATCTTGCAGATTACACTCTGAATATTATACCAGCAGCCTCCTCTCTCTTGGTGTTATACCCGCAGTTTCAGGCAGCGGTAACCAGCCAATGCATTTATGGAAGGAGAGCCCGGCCAAGGACAGCCTTCCTGTGGAAGCCCCAGCTGTGCCCACCTATGCCAGCCTGTCTATGCCCTCCTGCATCATTCTCATGAAAATGATAAATTCAAATAAACAATAATGTAAGAACTAGTTGGATAAGTACAATATCTTAATTTAAATTAATAAACTATCCTAAAATACCTTTCATGTTCATTGTATGTTGTGACTTTGGTTAAAGCTGTGAATGAAACTCCTACTTTAAAGTCACTTCTTATTTGAACCAATGCCAATGACAATTTATTAGGTAACTAGCTGGCAGTAGCAATCCTCTTGTAATATATAAACCAATGAAAGGTAAACGTAGGGCATTTTAATTATTGAAGTGCATATGTTTGCACAGCTGGTTGCTAATGCCTCTGTTCCTTTTAATGTTCTTGTCTGTCGTAGTGAACACGTTTTATCTTGTTTGCTAGTCCTTTGTATGATGCGCTTTAGAGTTTAGGGCAAACAATTTATTTATTGCAGTATTGTATTACATATCCTTATAAACCGCTTCTTAATAAAATTAAGCAGAATATTGGTCTGTCTTTTAAATTTTTCTGAATATTTATGAAGCGCAGTGAACTAAACTAAATATTTATTAGTTTACTATTATAAGGTTTATTAGATACAAATGGAAACCAAACTGTGCATCCTGACTTTGAGAGATCTGGTTTTAATTTAATTTGAAATTAAAAAGTATTGGAGGATTGAGATGGCATGTAGTTGTGTAATAGTCGACTGGCCACACAGTACAATAGTATAAGAGTGGATGAGGCTTGCCGTATGATATCAAATAGCTTCAGTAATCAAGGCTTTATTCAACTCGTAAATCCATATACATCTGCAACAGAACAAAACAAAACCCAATTAGAACAAAACATTTAATGTAAAGGTAAACACAAACATAATTTATTCCATAATATGACATTCACCCCAGCCAACATAATCAATCAAACATCATAGCCGTATTGCTGGGGGTTCTCTTCACTGCCGAGCAGAACGACGAAGAGAACTTCTGCATGATACTAGGATTCAGCAATGTCGTCCTGCTATCTCCTTCTGCAGCAACTCCCTCACCATTATCCAACATTTCTGGCTCCACTGAAGGTGAGGTTGATCCGGCAGAGATGTCTGAGGATGAGGTTCCATTAGGGCATGGAGCAAGATCACGGAGGGAAATTGAAGATTCACATCCATCTGGATACTTGATGTGTGCATACGTTGGGTTAGCCTCGAGGAGCTCCACCTCATCAACGAGAGGGTCACCTTGCTTGAGCGGACGAATCAGCGTAAGAAGACAGGACCTGGAGTCGTTAGCCATGTTGGCAGGGATGTACCCTGACAAGATCATCTCAGAAAATTTAAAAACCTATCATGTGGAGTCGCGTTGATGGCTGTTGAGAGCAATGATCTAATGAAGTGAAGTGCTTCAGGTAGGAGAGCCTCCCGTTCAGTATCCGGAACATCTCGAGATTTGGCAGCTAAACATATGGACTTCCAGATTATGCCATTGTACCGTTCTATTTGACTGTTTCCTGTTGGGTGGTAAGGTGTAGTTTTGCTGGACGCCACTCCACGACTAGCGAGATGAGTTTTCACTTCACAAGAAATAAATGCACTTCCTCGATCAGAGTGGACAAAACTCCCCATACCACAAAGCGAGAAGATGGTGTCCAGACATCTGATGACAGTTGAGGATGTCATGTCAGCACATGGAACAGCAAAGGGAAATCTGGAATATTCATCCACAGCAGTGAAGAGATACGAGTTTCTCGTGCGTGATGGAAGAGGACCTTTGAAGTCAATGCTCATTCTAGCCATTGGTTGAGTAGCTTTGATATGGGTATTTTCAGTAGCCCTATGAAATGTTGGCTTGATTTCAGCACATATACGATAAGTTGAACAGACCTTTTTCACATCCTCCGTAGAAAATGGGAGGTTCTTTGTCCGGACAAAATGAAGCATTCTGACAACCACAGGGTGGCAGAGCTCTTCATGGATGACAATTAGGTTTGACGACGAGATGGCTTCGCAGAACGCTCGGGTGAAAGTGTCAGGAGCAACGTCGTCTCTACCTGGCCAATACCAAATGGAATAACTAAAACAAGTGAGTTTGAGCCGCCACCCTTGTATCTTGTCATTCTTCACTTTAGTCCTCCTACGACTGTCCAGCATAAATGCAACTGGTTGCTGGTCAGTAACAGTGGTGAAGTGCCATCCCACCAACAGGTGATACCACTTTCTCACCGCTTCAATTATTGCAGTCTCCTTCTCAACAGGGGAATAGTGAATCTCACTGCCATATAACATCAGAGACATGAAGGCTACTGGCCGACCAGCTTGATTCAAAGTAGCAGACACTGCCACATCCAACGCACCACACTCCACAGCAAATGGGATGGCATGGTCAATGCAATTTAGGGTAGCATCCCCAAGCAGTTTCTTCAAGTCATCAAACCCTGTGAGCGCTTCATGGTCCAGAGGAAAAGATTTAGCCTTATAGAGAGGCTGTGCCTTGTCTGAAAACTTCGGGATCCACTTAGCGTAATAAGCAAACATACCAAGAACACGTTGAAAAGCCGATCGGTTTGTAGGTGGTGGAAGTTCTTGCAGTGGTCTTAGCCTTTCCACAATCTCGGCTTCGCCTTGAACGCCTTGAGTTTTTCTGACAAAGTGAGATAAATTTCATCCCTTCATTGCATGGACATGTTCAGCAAATTCAACTCAGAGAATATATCTGCCAGATATGCCAGCTGAAACAACCACCTTGGTTCCAAAAGCCTTGATGCCAGTGCTTGTTTCTTCTTTCTCGTTCAAGAAGATTTCAACCTGTGTACGCATTTCAAACAATCTCTGGAGCACTTTCCCTCGAGACAGCCACCTGATGGCAGAGTAGTAAAGCAGGTGTTCATACTCCGACCCCATATCAGAGCACATCTGGTTGAGCAGCCTTGAATTCAGAGCTGATGATTTAATAAGGTTTACTCTTTGAATCACATCTTCCATCACAGAGTTAAGCTCATGTGACAGTTTCCGGGAGGCAAGGTTTTCCCGGTGGAGCAGACAAAGAACCACTATCACTGAGGGTTGACTTGTTTTACACTATCCGTGAAACCCTGACGTGCCCCTAGCATTGCCGGTGATCCGTCAGAGCACACACTGAAACACTGATCCCAGCTTAGGTTTTCTTCCTTGATGAAGCTGTCAACCAACTTGAACAGATCCTCACCTGTTGTTGTCGTTTACAGAACAGGAAGTTCTCTTCCATGTCGTTCTTCCCTTTCTACCACGCATATACCAAGAGCTGTGCATCGTCACTGACGTCAGTTGACTCGTCCAACTGCAAGCAGAATTTTCCGCTCTCCTTGATGGCAGCCACTACTTGTTCTTTGATGTCTGCCGACATTTCTTGAATCCGTCGGCTAAATGTGTTGTTTGACAGTGGAATAGTTTCAATCTTTTTCATTTCATCATCTCCGATAACAGTGCGATCCATATCAAGGACTGCTGGTTTCACCAAATTTTCCCAAATTGTGTGGCTGTTTATACTTCGCAATTCTTTTTGCAACCAGATAAGATGCAATTGTTGCTTGCCGAACAGAAAACACTGCTGTGCTCATAGGGGTGTCTAACCGCTGACGCTTCAGTTGTTCTTCTTTCCTCTTAAAATACTGGCGGCCTTTCTCTGCCGGTGTCGGATGTTTTCCCTGGAGATGGCGCCTAAGCTTGTTTTCTTGGAGCGACTCGTGGCTGAGCACTTCGCCACATATAACGCATTGAGGTTTTTTGACCCCATGATTGATGAGAAGCGTAAACCTAATGTCAAGGAATTCCTCTCGGTACACCCGCCTTCTGGACATCACTGAAGAATCTGAAATTAAATATATAGTTGCTAACTGATGCATCAAGCAAGAGATGCTCTTTGGTACAAATTTAAAAAAAAAAGCAATGCACATGTATGGAAGGTAAAATTAGCATCAACTTGTGCAACAACCAATAAGTACAATATCAGAACAGCATCTGAAAGCAGTGCTCTGTTCCTTCATGTTAGGAATAATAATCATCCCATTGCTTGGGAAAAAAGCTTAGAAGTATTCAAATCATCTTGTGTCACAGAAAGACTTCTGGTTGAAGCTAGTCTGATTAGGGAATTAAAATCAATAAACATTAGTGATGGTCAGTTCAAAACTGATATGTTACATAAATTTATTTGTCAGTGGCCCAAGGTTAAAAATGCTTTGAAAACCTTTGATCTAGATGTAGGATAGTTATTTAGTGGGTCCCTTATATTTGACCTGACCTGACTAGTCACATCGCCCCCTTCTCTTTAGCTCCTCTACGTGTGTGTTGGTGTGGGGACTAGTGGATGACATCATTATGACCTGACCTCATGTTTAATAAGGTCACCCTGTATATTTAAGCCTCTCTCTGTCCATGTAATCCAGTTGCCTCTGAAGATGTCTTGAATGAAGACGAAAGCTAAGGTGCTCTGTTGTTTCCCTTTTCCCGTGTGATTTTATCAAGATTTATCTTATCCACGTTTTCATTGTGGATCTACATGATATATATATGAGCAACTTCAATAAAAAAGCATAGCTACATGTTTTGTGGGCTATTGAGCGTAATATGAATCGTCTGATTTTACGTTAACTGATGTGTATGACCGTGGTCATTACACAGCTGACGGAGGAAACATGACGGATTTTACTCGTAGCAACAGAGTTAAGTTGGATAAGTTTATGTTTAGGAGGGAGATAGGAAGGAACTGGTTCACAAATAGGGTGGTGGACTAGTGCAACAAGCTTAGCAACTTTGTTATAAGTGCTGGAACCTGGAGGGTTTTAAAAGGAGGTTAGATAGACTCAGGGATGATAGAGAGTGGTAGTAACTCTCGACATGAGCTGCCATGCACAGGCCAACCGGCCAATTACAGACTCCTTATGCTCTTGGCGGTGGGTTATGTGTATACCTTCGTCAGCCAGTGCCCTACCAGCTGAGTATTTCACCCCTGCTGTGTGTGTGTGAAGACGTGTATAGAGTGTATGAGTTACTCTACCCTTACACACAATATAAACGTCACAAAAACTGTCTCGTTACCAACACTGAATTCCTGACATGAACCCTTAACATTATTACTAGTTAACCGTAATAAAAAAACATGCAATTAACATCAGTATAAGATGACGTCATGTAAAATCCGCTAATTAGAACGCAGGATGGCAGACGTGCTTCCCTTTTTATGCAGCTATTGTAATTCTTGACGCCGGTGATCTATAGCCATAACGCCGTCACCGTTTAATTAATTAGCATCGAATACACTTGCAAAGTTGTGATAATTACAGAAAAAATGTGTCCTCAAAAAACAAGTCAAAATAAAACTGCGTATCAACAGTCATTAGTGTTTTGTGTGTGTGTGATCTCCTTATACGTATTTATTAAGGTGATGATAAATTAAGGTGGAGGAGGTGGTGTGTGGACTGCCTCTCCTCCCTCCACCTATCTTGAGTTACGCGTTTATGATCATTTTCGTGTTTTAT